GGTGTCGCTGGGGCCTCTGGCTTCTAAATAATACAGGGCGGGTTTCTCTCGTTGCAGACGCCTTCCAAGCCTTTCTGCTGGAGTGGGATCCGCCTCGGCGGTAGCCGGTTGGCGTTTAGTGCTTGTTATGTAGACTTCAGAGTGGTGTGATACCGTGCCGCCAGTCCCTTCCTTCTGTAAAAAAGGGTAGCTGCTTTCTGAGCCATCACATACCAACTTCATGTATTCCTAAGATTGTCGTCAGCTTCTTGTTTGTGTGTTTGTTTTTTTTTTTCTGAGGCCTTACTGAGGTTAAATTACTTACAGGTTCTAGTGGTTATAAAGTAATTTACGATGTTTGTACTACTCTGTTTTAACTCTGTAATTGACTCTTGTATTAAGAGACATTGTTTTAACTTGGGAATGGTTAAATGGCCAAAGAATTCAATTATTTACGGATAAGGGCTATTTTAATTCACTACTGTTAGCCTGCAACTTAAACTTGCGTCTTTTATGTTTTTTTATCCTATGCTTTTTCTGTGTTATGGCTGCTGCAACAATAGTTCATGATACATCAGAAGCTGTAGAGCTCTGTGCTCCCTGTGGGTTATATCTTAAACCCATTACAAAAATGACCATCAGTGTGGCACTTCCTCAGCTGAAACAACCGGGAAAATCCATTTCGAACTGGGAAGTGATGGAAAGATTGAAAGGGATGGTGCAAACTCATCAGTTTTCCACTCTGCGGATTTCCAAAAGCACAATGGATTTCATCCGGTTTGAAGGAGAGGTTGAAAACAAAAGTTTGGTTAAATCTTTTCTGGCATGTCTTGATGGCAAAACAATAAAGCTGAGTGGCTTCTCTGACATTTTAAAAGTCCGTGCTGCGGAATATAAGATTGACTTTCCTACCAGACATGACTGGGACTCATTTTTCCGTGATGCAAAAGATATGAATGAAACTTTGCCAGGGGAAAGGCCAGATACTATTCACTTAGAGGGCTTACCTTGTAAGTGGTTTGCAGCAAAGGACTCTGGCTCAGAAAAGCCAAGTGAAGAAGTCCTTATAAAAGTTTTCAAGACGTTTGGAGAAATACGTAATGTGGACATACCTATGCTGGACCCTTACAGAGAAGAAATGACTGGCAGAAACTTTCACACTTTCAGTTTTGGAGGCCATTTAAATTTTGAAGCTTATGTTCAATACCGGGAGTATGCAGGTTTCATTAAGGCCATGAACGCCCTGCGAGGGATGAAGCTGATGTATAAAGGCGATGATGGCAAAGCAGTGGCTTGCAATATAAAGGTGAGAAACTGTGGGCTTTTTTTATGGGAACTCACGTGAAAGACCAAATAGAGCTAAATGTTATTTCCCTAGTGCTTATAACCTACATCTATGTACTGTAGTGATGACAACAGGTGACGTTAACAGCACTAATGTATTTTTATGGAACAGTCATAGTAGAATTTTTAAAGGAAAATGATGGAAGAAAAATGTCATGTTAGACTACTTGAACAAAGTGGGTGGGATTTTGCTTTTTTTTTTTTCTGACAAGGCAGTTCTAGAAATGAGAACCGTTTGGTGGAAGGACCAAGTCCATGAACATGACCTGCTAAATAGTTTTTAGGAAGTAATTTGTGTTTACAAATCTTGTCATTTCACTTACAATTCTAATTCTGAACAAGTTCACATGTATTTCACCAGAAGACTGACTTTAAAGTGCATTGTTCTCTTTTGTGTTCACTACAAATAGAAATTTTGGAGGAGAATTTCACAGCCTCTATATTTAGTCCCAGCATTGATAATGAGGTCTACCAGACAAGTGTCAGAACTGTAGAGTTTAATATTATGTAGCCTGGAGAATACACAGTTAATCATTATTGTATTTCACATACAGAAAGGCCCCCCCAAAAATTTAAATGATAATGTTAATCTGTAGCACAGTTCCCTGTGAATGCAGTGTGCTTAATTCATATATACTGAGTTTTCCAGAGGTTTTTTTCTGTAACCTCATTGTCTTAGAAAATACAACTGTGATAAAGAACAAGACAGTTTGTTCAGATGTAGTATCTATGAAAGCATGGCCTGAAGAAAACTTGCTCTGATATGTTTGGAAATAGTCTGTGCACTTATATATCAGTTGAGTGAAGTGTTTGCAGATATATTTCAGTATGCTCAATAGTCATTCATCAAATCAGAAAGTGTATTTCAGGAAAAAGCTTGAGTATTGCTTTGTGTAATGTGGGTATGTGCAAATATTTATTCAAGTTTTAGTTTAGTCAGTATAAGTAAAATGCTGTAATCTTTTCTCTTGTTATCAAAGTTTGTCAGTTGGAGCATAGAAACAGTTTTTACCTTGACCCTCAAGGTTTTCAAGGGGATGTGAAATTAAAACTGTCACCTACATGCAGGGGATCAGGGTTCCTAAACTTAGTTTGGCCGTGCAAGAGGAAGCATGCCTTCCTGGCAGCTGCCCTGGGGATTGATAGGAAAGAGGGAGGGCTGTGTTTGTGACTGAACTGTCAGAACGGATCTCTTTCATACAAAGTCACAATACCTTGTCTGTCGCTACCTGTCTGTCCTTTTAGCCTGCTAGAAACATCGTTTACATAGAGCCTGGGTGAATTAAACTGCAGAGTATGTGCTGCTTGTTCTCTGCCCCATGGTTCATGACGATGGGCCTGCAGTAATGTATTCTGGACCCCTGCCTGCTTGCACAGACATTGGTATCTGGAATGGGAGATTAGACCATCAGGTCTGTGATCTCTGCTGGTGTCCTGTTCCAGCGCGCAGCTGGACATGACCAAGGTGTGCCCGTATGTCCTGGAAGCTGAGTATTTTCTCGGGTCTCATTGCTCAGCTGTGTGTAACTTCTTTTTCTCTTGTGTTCCCATTCTCAAACTTGGAGCTCCAGCGCAGTCCACCTCAGTTTGGGAATCTTCTTGTTAGAATTGGTGGGGAGGCAGTTGCTTAAACCGGGTGCTGAATGTTGCAGAACTTTCTGCTGCTGAACTTACGGATCATCAGAGAGTTAGAAAGGGAGACCTTTATTAGGGCCCATTTCTAATGAGTGCTGTACAGTCCCTAATAGCATACATGAATTGAAAGAGTTCTGTATGTTTCTGTTCTGACAGGTTGAAAACATTTAACAGCCAGACCCTACGCCACACTAGGGTATACTTTTGGATGTCAGACACACACAAAAGTGTAAACTAGTACTTGATTGTGCTACTGCGCAGGCATTTAGTTCCTGGTTATCAGGTTATAGTACTCTGGTGCTTGATCTGGGGCATATAGAGAAGTTCCCTTGGTTTTGAAAAAGGTTTTATATTTCTGATTGTATTTACACTGTGGTTTGAATACTTATGTGCTAGGTTAAAATTGTTTGGGATTCTTGGGGATTTTTTTTTTTGTCTACTTAAAACTGTTTTCAATTGTATCCTGTAAAGGTTTCTTTTGACTCAACAAAACACCTTAGTGATGCATCAATTAAGAAGCGTCAGCTTGAAAGACAAAAGCTTCAGGAGCTTGAAAAACAGAGAGAAGAACAAAAACGGAAAGAGAAAGAAGCTGAGGAAAAACAAAAAGAGGAAGAAAGGTATTTATAGGTTATTTCTCAGTTATATTTTTAACAATAAGGCATAATAAAACTGCAGTTACTTCCTCGTACCGGCATCAATAGATAAAAAAACAACTAAACACAAGTTTACTTTCAAAGTTCTACTCCTGTAACTAAAGGGAAGCGCTTAAAATATTGTGGTCCTTTTGAGGAGGCAGGATTCAGGGATTATGAGATTTGGAGAAGTGTTCTACACCGTCTTCTTTTTTTTTTTTTGGTTGGAACTGTAATTTCAAGAGCTGAGAACTTACATGATGTGTAGTCATTCTGATGGAAAAATGTGCATTGTAAATGGAAAGTAGAACATTATGCACTTGTTATATTAGTAAGTCACTTGGATATTATAAAGCTAATTTGTTCTTAACATGAGTACTTTTCCAGGAAAGGGGTGAGGTACAAGCATGTTTAACAGTGCCATTTTAAGAAAATGTATATAGGTGCAAATGTCATAAGACAGCTATTCAGAATATAAATATGAATGGCGCTAATTGTTTAAGAAGTTGTATGGTGTCCAGTTGCCTTGATGTGTATAAATTCTCGTTGCTTAATGTTTAGACATTAAACAGTTTCTGAAACTGCAAGTTTATTTAGATTGTCACTACTGCTTATGTTCCATTCAAAATATTAAATCTGCAAAATATTCAGTTTCCTAAAAATCGTGCCATTAGACACCTGATCTCAGAAACCCTTGGCCTTTTACATAAGCTACCATTTTGTCCTAATGACTGAAATAAAATCCACCAACCCCTCTACGCATTAATTGGCTTGGTAATTTTCTTCTCACTATAATGACTGACTGCCTAGCTGCCTGATGCGTTGTTATTGTCTCTGGCCAAATTGGTTTAAAACAAATTCTTGTTGCAGCCATGTTTTGTGTTTGCATTCCAACTTGTTTTCAAATACTGACAGGCTAATTATTGTTTGCTGTCACAACTAATGTTTAAAGTGTTTGTTATTTTCTACTTCTGTTTTTCGGTAATCAACAAGATTTACTTAGAAACAAATTTACTTGAAGTACAAAATACATTTTTACATAAGAGTAGAAGTCTAAAATTGTACCGCTCTAGATAAGGTGAAAATATTAATCTCTTTTTAGGAAGCAGAGAGAGCTTGAAGAATGTGAGAGAGAGAGAAAAAGAGAAGAAAAGTTGCGCAGGAGAGAACAGAAACAGAAAGATCGTGAAGTTCGACGAAACAAAAAACAACTTGAAAAGCTTCAAGCTGAAGAACAGAAAAAACTGCAAGAGAAGATAAAGTTAGAAGAAAGGAAGCTCCTGTTAGCTCAGAGAAATCTTCAGTCCATTAGACTAATTGCAGAACTGCTAAGCAGAGCAAAGGTAACTTCAGTATTTGTATCAAAAGTTAATGCAGAATCCAGCAGAACAAAGCCTTTTACTGACTTGAGAGGTTGTGGGGAATGCTGTTCATTAAACAACAGATTTAGTACCTCTCCAGATGCTATTCCTTAGACCAAAAATGCAAAAAAGTGCAATGAAACAGTATTTGTCCCTTGGTAAAATACAGACCTATAGGTAAATGGAACAGTGAACTTGAACCTGTAGTCCCGTATAGCTTTTTTTTAACTGTAAGCTAATTGGCAGGCTTGCTTTTAAGTCCAGTAAGCATGATAAAGTGATTTAAACACAGAGGATAAGACACAGGACTCCTTATTTCTAATTCTAGTTTTGATGCTGTTTCCCTTCTGGCTTTCAGCAATGCTGTTAGCTATTCTCTGCAGTTTCAGAGAATGAGCTTTAATTATTCGATGTTTGGAATTGTGCAGAACAATTTCTCTGTAGGAAAAGTACTGTCAGCTAAGGTTTCAAATATTAGATCCTGTCTCTCTAACAGCATTGTTATTTTTCACTGAAACAGGATGTCATTTGCTTAAGACTTGGATAAAGTCATGTTAGGATGTAACGTAATGTAAGTTTTTTCTGTAGAAATGAAAAAACTGTGTGGTGAAGCACAGTTGCTTTTTTCCTGATGCCAGTGTACCTCAGGAGTGTTTTTGAACTCATACGGGGCTATGTGGTGAGTTACATGCTAGGAGAAGGGAGAAATACTTCTTGCAGGCTTTGTAACTTTGCATCTGTGAAATAGAAAGGTGGTCTGATAAAACAAAGCAGTGTGTTTCTTTTACTCACAGAATTGTGAGGTCTGCACTAAGCTGTTTGTCTGGGTCAGAATTAAAAAAAAAAGTTTGAACTTTCTTTTTCAGTATCATGAGTTTCTAACGTGGTTGACAAAATGAGGATCAGTTTCTACATAATATGCATGTGTTTAATTATTTGCTGGTTTTTATGGACTCAAAGTTATCTGTGAACCCCAGATTGCAATCATCTAAGAGAAATTAATGTTTTAAGTTTGATTGAAACCTTCAAGTGTTGACCTTGATAAATGTATTTTAATAGTTCAGATTTCATATATTGTTCTAGCTTGTGTGTTACTCTTGTCATATTAAGGAGACGTAAAGACCAAGCTTTGGTTTTGCCTTGTGGAACAGCTAGGAGAAATTAACACTCAAAAGAGTTTGTGGAATAAGACTAATGTTTCACCTTACAACTGTTGTGTGTTAGTGTTTAGGTTTTTGTTGGTTGGTTGGTTTTGGGTTTTTTTCCCTTTAAGAGGGAAACAACCGTTTTGTTTTGGGATGGTTGAGTTCCGTTTGTTAGATTTCATTTTCTTGTCATATTGCTGCTTTTGTGTTATGGTATAATTTGGAAGCATGAGCAGGTCTATAAATATTTTCATATTTACTCTTACTGTCCCTTTGACTGTCTTTCAGACAGTAAAGCTTTTGGAGCAAGAACACAATGAAGAAAAGATTCGTCTTCAGCAGCTAGAGGAGAGACGAAGGCTCCAGGAGGCCGAGCTCAAACGTGTGGAAGAGGAAAAAGAGAGAGCACTGGGGTTGCAGAGAAAAGAAAAGGAACTGAGAGTGAAACTACTGAACAATCTTCTGAGCAAGAAAATGGATGCAGTTAATCAAAACAAAGAAGAAACAGAAGCATCTCAGTCTGACATGCTGATAACCCCTAGTGGTGTTCCACACACCGTGTCATCCAGCTGCATCACTTCTACCTCAGGACAGGCTGTTACAGGCAAACTGGCTCCCGGCTCTCAAAGGGAAGTACCATCCCCTGAGAGCGTAAACACTCAGTGCAAGTACTTGAATGGCAATGTTCATGACAAAGTCCATGTCAAAGAAGGTCAGAAACTTCATACCACAAACTCTGAGAGGTGTTCTGAAAAAAGAAGTTCGGGGGAACTTTCATGTGTTCCCACCAATAACCAGCAGCAGAAGAACCTCTCTAGTTATGACCAGGGTACCTGCAGGAAGGACTCACACCATGAGCAGCGCAAACGTAGCACAGAGCCAAGGAGAAGAAAGAGCCGTTCGTGTAGCAGCGTAAACACTGATGAGAGTAAGAGTAAACGAGAGAGGAGCAGACACAGAAGAGATGTGAGTTACCTGGATGAAAAGCGCAGGAAAGAAAGGAGGTATTATAGACACTCTAGCAGAAGTTACAGTCCTCGACGAAGCCATAGTCCTCGTCGAAGCAGTGTAAGCCCCAAACGTTCACGTTACAGAAGAACTCGCAGTAACGAACGTAGACGAGACAGAAGAGAAAGAAGTCGTAGTCGCAGAAGTGTCAGCAGGAGACAAAGGCACCGGAGGAGATCACTGAGTAAGCAAAGGAGTACTTGGAGTGGGTAGTGGAGGCTTTGGCTCCTTGAAAAGGCTGTGCTTGGACAAAAGGTCCAGAAAGTTCTAAACGAGACCTCATCGGTGTGACTGCTGTAGAAAACATGTTTGTTTCAACCAATGCTTAACTTCCATCTCGTCCCTGATATCAAGCAAATAGATGCCTGATTTTTTTCTTGACGTTCCTTTGTGCTTTATTATCTCTTTCTAGGTTTCTGCCACCATGTAGGTGTAACTGCCTGTGCTTGTGCTCGAGTTCCTACAGTGCTAAAAGCCAACCTGTTTTCTTGATTTTTCAGTTTTCTAACCCTTAATTTTAGTTGATTTAGTTTTTGTCTCTGTATCACCTAATTTGGCTTGAGAAGTACATGGGAACATCTGGAACTCTAGATGTGACAAGCTATTACATACAGATTTGATTTTAAATGCTTTCTGGTGCATTCAATGAAATCACATTTAACAAAGTAGAGATTTTCCGATTGAGATGAATAGCAGAACTTGCATATAGTTCTTAAAACTGACTATAAAGATTATCAGGATATCTTTTAAACCCCTATGGTTCCTTCATATGTCTGTATGGTGCCCAGCTTTGTGGCGCAAGTTACTCTGGCATGTAATTCCATTTGTATAATAATACCTTCCATGTAAGAGAGGCACACTGATGTAGGAAGTAAGAAGCAGTGGTAAAATGGTTGAAAAGTTGTTCTGTTATTTTGTTGACATATTTGGCTTTGTAATTACTTTAAGTGGCATAGAGCCACTTGAAGTATTTTTTCAGGTACATACAGAGGTAGCCATTGTCTTTTGAAAAAGGGGCCTTCCTGCTAAATTATTTTTACTTGTGGTGTTGGAACGTAAGGCTGCAGTGTCTCTTTAATCTGTTTTGCTTCTAAAATGCAGCTCAGGAATATTAAAAGCTATAACATTACAGTGAAAGAGTTTATTTTGCCTTTTTATGGTAAAATTAAAAAGAAAACTGTTTCCAGTGAACTGAAGTTGCTGTTTTCATATGTCAGTACATTACATCTGCAGAAGTGTTGTATGAGAACCCACTTGCTGAAAGAAAACACTCAACATATTTGAATAATGAAGCTCAGCCATGCTTCTTGATGGTCCTGTTATGTACAGCTATGTCAACTGTTAACTCAGCAGGGCGTGTGCTCTTTTATTGACAGTCTTCAGATGCCGATGGCGTTTTCCTCACACTGATGCATCAAATCAAAGTACATCCCTTCCCTGGAGTGCTTGAGAAACACATTGGTGCCGCAGCCCAGCTGGATCCTTGGCTGGCTGAGTTTGTCTGCATTGCTTTCAGTGAATCCATACAGGGTTTGTTTCTTACTAGACCATGCTTCTGAAATCATTGTGTTACTAGCTGTGGGAAGAAAAGGTAGACATTCTTTTCCCTTTCTGGCAATTCACATTTTTGAAGTTCTCCAACTAATTATGTTACTTCTAAAGTTTTTGTGACCTCTTCTGTGAGTTTCACCACTGTCCTGGGGTCTGAGACCTAGACTGATTTATTTAATCGTCTCATCACCAACGATCTTTTGAATTCTGAGCAGTTGCTCTCTGTGGAGAGTTCATTTTTCTACTATCTTCGTTAAAGTGTTAAAAGCCTATCTACCTGAAGATAAGTTCATCTTTAGTAATGATTTTGCTAAAATCCAATCTAATGTTGTTGCAAATATTTGATAAGGTTGGTGGGATGCCTGTTTGTAAATACACGCAGTTCTGCCTAGCCTGCTCTTAAATATTGACACACTGTCCATGGTAATACCACTTTTTAAAAAATAGTGTATTCTATCTGCAGTTATGTGAGAAGTTTAACTAATGGCTGTCAGTACCAATGTCTTTGAGCTCAGGATTAGAGTCCTATTAGTATTTCTACAGTATATTTCTAATGTGGATTTTCACTGGGATTGATATGTTGGGTGGAGGTCTTGATACATTATGTAAGTAGTTGGGGAGATGCTTGTTTATGATTCTACTTTCAGGAAGTCATTAAGCTATCAATGCAGTGTCATTGTCAAGAGTGGAAGCAGTTAAAGCAGTGGCAGTCACCAAAAAGTGTTGGAGTCATCCTGGAAGAACCCAGCGAATATTGTTAGTTGGTAACAAAAAAACCCCTGTACTTGATAGTTGGTTTTTTTTCTTCAGAAAAGGCACCAAGAGTAGGTTTCCCATCCTGAAATTATTGAATTCCATAAGCTTCCCTGATGTTTAGGTCAATTTCTGAGGCCAGAGAAAATAAGGGGGAGGATGTTCAGCTGTTAGGCTTTGATAATCATTCGGCTTAAAGCATGTCCTAAAAGTGCACTAGCATAAAGTAACTTTGTTGTTTATAGCGCTTGTATTATTTCTTCTTTTCACAGCAGCTTCAGGAGGAAAAGCCTGAAAGTGATTTGAAGCTACTTGCAAATGCTTACTTTCCAAACTGCAGAGGGAATGTGGAAGTTCTCTTTCAGTCAGCCAGCTGAACCCAATAAAAACCTCTTAAAACTCCTAGTATCTAAAGTTGCCCAATAACTGCTCAGTGCAGAGTTTTATCTAGTCTAACACTTAGCAGTATTGTTGCTTCAGGTATGTGTTTTGCTCACCAAAATCTTTTCAGTGCTGAATTCCCTGAAATGCATATTGCGTCATGTGTCCTTGTACTGGGTCTGGCTGGGATGGAGTTAACTTCCTTCATAGCTGCTGGTATGGTGCTGTGTTTTGGATTTGTGACAAGCAGTGTTAATAACACACCAATGCTTTACCTATTGCTGAGCAGTGCTTGCACAGTGTCAAGGCCTTCTCCATTTTTCATTTTGTGCACACCCCCCTGAATGGGTAGGCTGAGGTTGGGCAAGAGGTTGGGAGGGGACACAGCGAGGACAGCTGATCAAAGGGGTATCCTGTGCCGTATAACATCATGCTCAACAATAAAAATGGGGGGTTTTGCCTTTCCAAGGTAGCTGTTGCTCCAAGACTGTTTGGCCCTCTGTCTGCTTGTGGTCATCATTGATGAGGAGCTTTGAACTGCAAGGAAACTGAAGAGTTGAAACTGTAACCTTTTAATAAGGTCATAAATGTAAATTATGCCATGCCCAATAGAGTTTATTCAGGGTTGTTGTTTTTTTTTATTTTTTATGGCTGGGGTGTGTACTTGTACTACTGCAAAAACCTTGCTGCTGCAATAACTGAAAGAATACAATTTTTGATAGTAAACAATTGCTCTTTGTTCTGTATTGATTGTAAGTCAGTACATTTCTACGAAGTAGCTTCCCGGGGTCTTAGTGTTTCAAATGAAAGAACCTAGGATACCAGCAGGCTTTATAATGGCTTCTAGACACCGAAGTACTGAAGTTACTGATATTTTTCCCTACTTTGGAAGAATGTTGTGGTGCTGATTGCTTAAATCTTACCTGGTTGCTTGGATTTGCAAGACTGACTTTCAAGAGCTGTCTAAAAGCAGGTAAAATTAGTTGGCCTTTTTTCTTCCATTTTGGTGTATGTCTGTTGAGTGGCCTTGAGTTCATATGAAAAGACAAGTATTTAATGTTTATTGTCTGCTGTTTTAGCTGCTTTAAAGCAATGTCCTTTTGAAATGGACTTCAAACTTTGATTAACAAACTTTGGTCTAATTAATGAAGGAGTTCCAATAATCCACACTACCGTTCTTGTCTAATTATTAAATTTACAGTGTTTAAATCACACTGCAGTCACAGGTTCTGGTGTAAATGTTAAGGAAACAGCGTAGTACAGGATTTAGCAACTAATATTTATCAAAGACATACCAAACTAATAAATACTTCTGAAACATTGAATTTATGTTGGTATGGTTGAGTATTGGATCGAGTCTGACTTAGCTGATAGGCTACCTCTACTTTCAGACCTTAACTGCTGGAAGTCCAATCCAGTGAGAATGCCTGCAGAGATACCTGCCTGTTTACTTCTGAAACTGGTCAGTGAGGATTATGAACCAGTAGTAACCTGACTCTCTTTGCCTAGGCTTGTCATGAGTTGCATGTTACTTACGCCCTATTGCGTTGAAGTTACATGCCTTGTTCTGTTTGTCTGTCAATATTCAGGGTTTGGTTTTGTTTTGGGGGCTTTGTTCTCCTGGGTTGTAAGCAGGAATCTATTCACTGTTTTTATCAGAACATAAAGGATCTGGGTGAGCAAGACCATAAGTCTTTGTTTCTTCTCCAGTAGACTGCTATTTGAAAAGTTGGAGTCTGGATGTTAGCTTTCATCTTGACTGAACATATTGCAGCCCCAGGGGTATAGGGTAGAGATGGGGAAAGAAATCCTTGAAGATTATGGAAGACTTTAATACAAGTCATTCCATTTCCATCCATTTTACTGCCTGCTGTAGTAAAGTAATTTTGATAATGTATGAGACACATTGCCAGAAGTAATTGATATTAATAAGAAGTGGTTACCCAAGCCATGACCATATCCATGATTTTTTGTAATTGCCTCTGCCTTTGTAGAGTAGTCTATTCAATGACCTAGAATAAGGGCATATGTATGGTTAGGTATGCGTATAAAAAACATTTGATATGTTATCTGGAAGCATCATCTTGAAAGCTGTTAGTGAAAATGGGAGGTTTTGCAGTGGCTCCCAAAATTGTGAGGACAGGACTGTACCAGGGACTGCAAGGCTATAAATGCAAACAAATGAGAGCTGATCGCTGCTCGGTGCTACCTGGACATTGCACCAGTGTCAGGTTTAGGACAGTTCTTGAACATGTATAGGATTGTGTAACAGACTATTGCAGCTGTTTGTGTTTGACAGCAGAGGTAGAGATGTTGCAAGATTCTATATGACAGCAATTAAACCAACTAATTTGGCAGGTACCTTAATTCATAAATGGGTGAGCAGAATTGACCACTGATGTATTGTATTGGTACATAAGTTAAAGGTTTGGTTGCTTTTTGGTTTTTTTTTTTTAATAATTGAGGAAATATATGTATTGCCTGTGTTTTGATCTGGTATCCTGCCTTTGAGGTTTGGTTATAATCTG